GCCTTCAGACTCCTTGCAGTATAGAAAGAGGTCTTTAAAAATCAGATGGAAATCTTTTCTCCCTTACAGGTCTAGACTAGCTTAGGAATCTGTATGATCAGAATAAAATATATTTTCATTTTAGAAAATGGAAAATACAGAGATATAAGAAAGGAAACAAAATCACTATTTCTCAACTAAGAGATTACAACTATTGTACATTTTGTTGTATTTCCTTCTAAGTATTTTTTTCATGCATACACATGTATTATTTTTTTAACATACTTGGGGCGGCTTATCCTCTTGAGATTATTCGAGGCCAAGGAGACTAGAGTAGGCGCTTAAAAAGGCTGAGGAAGGAGGTTGGGGATGAGATGATGGGTATAAATTGATCTGGTTCACCTGCCTCTATGTGTGAGTCCAGTTTGAGAGAAGATAAAAGGCTGTTTTTGATGTAACTCCCAAGGAGCCAGCCTGTATGAGATCATGAAGACCTGGAATGTTTAAAAAGAAAGTGATGACAAAAGATACTAGCCATACCTATTGCAGGTTAATTCTCATGGGGAGTGGGTGAGTTAGTGCATTTGAAACCAGTTTTAATTTACTATTCTGGAGGGTTGAAGAAAGCATTCCAATCTTCCTAAAAGTCCCTTTTCCCTGGCTGGTTAGGTGATACATATTTGAGATTTGTCAGAGGTGGTAAACTCTCAGTGTGTGGGCTGGATATAGGATCTACATGCTGTTTTGTGGGTTTTCTTTTTCTCTGATTTGAGCAAGTTGTCGACTAAGAAATCAGAAAACCTGACAGTACTGGGCCTGAATTTCCAAATGGCAATAATCAGCTGGGTTTCCCTCTTTAAAATGGATAAGCATTCTCTAGTTTGCCCCAGTTCGCACTACTCCCCAGAGTCTCTTCAGCTTGCTCATTCACATTTCCTGAAGAGCTCCTGCAGGTGTATTTTTAACCCCTGTCTGGATGCTGAAATTGATGGTTTCCTCAGTGGAAAGCCTGACTCCTGTAACATCTCCCTCGAATGCTCAGGCACCATTTGGTGCTCTTTATCCCTGACTTTTTACTGACATAGTTGAGTGTTGTGCAGCCTTTTGAATCTTCTCTCAGAGTATCCTGCCCAGGGCAGAGCTGCAGCTAGCATGGTTGGGTCTGATCTGCCAAGGGTCTTTAAGCAGCTCTTCCTCACCTCAGAGACGACCTGATCAGGGCCATCAAGAAACTAAAGGCACTTGGCACTGGCTTCGGCATCATCCCTGTGGGCGGCACTTACCTCATTCAGTCTGTTCCAGCCGAGCTCAATATGGATCACACCGTGGTGCTGCAGCTGGCAGAGGTACTGTGCGCCTTCTGAGAGAGTGTGCGCATGCAAGGAACGGTCTGGGATGGGAGTCGGGAGCCGTTCTGAGCTCCTCCTCCCCATTCCTCAGGTCTTTTGCTGAGACTGTCTTATGGATGAATTACTCAGGCCTGTGCTGGTTCAGCAGACATTTATTGAGCAGCTACAGTGCAAAGCACTGGGCTAGGCTGAGGGGCATGTAAAGATAGGTATGATACAGTTCCTGCTCTCAAGGAGCTTACAGTCTAGTCAGGTAGACAGACATGCAGACAGCTAACTATATTTCCTTGAGTAGAGACTCTTTGATGTCTTTGGAAACTCCTTTTTTTTGGAAACTACTTTATGCATTCTTCAAAACAGATTTTTTTAAAACCTTGTTTGCCATCCCCCCATCCCTCAGCATGCCTTCAGCATACACTGTCTTCCCCCAAATCCCCATCGTGTATTTAAGGAAGACATGTTCAGTTTTCTTTATAACATACAACTAAATCAGGGAGGGGCTTTTCTATATTAGGGGATGATAGAGTGAGGCGGGGCAAGGACTGAATATTTGAATATTTTAGATTGTTAACATTTTATGATTATCACCATTCCTTCCCGTAAGTTAATCGTTCTGAATCTTCCCTTGTCATACTCTAGAGTTTTCTGCGGAAGTCTAACTTAATCTTAGCATCAGGGACCCCACTTTGTGAGATTAAACCCACTAACCTACCTCTACCCTCCTGAAAGTCACCTCTCTCTCCCTCTCCCTCCCTCTTCCTTCCACCCTCTTTGCTGGGACCTTTAAACATTCTTTTACTATTCTCCCCCAGGCTTGGCCCAAGGGCAGCTCTTCCTTCTGTGGGATAAATCTGTTGTTCCTGGGCAGATGCTGGGATCTAAGGGAAAGTGCACTCTTTTTAAATTTTATTTATTTATTTATTTTCCATCTCCTCTATTGCATGGAATGAAGGTGCACTCTTAACTGACTCCATCCCCATTCCTCCTTTTTCCAGAAAAATGGCTACGTGACTGTCAGTGAAATCAAAGCTAGTCTTAAATGGGAGACCGAGCGAGCGCGGCAAGTGCTGGTATGTGACTTTGGAATGGCCCAGAAAAGATGGGTTCCAGATGGGAGGAGGTGGGGGGATGGGTCCCACACAGGCAGGAGCTTCAGCCTCACTTTGCTGGCTGCTTGCCTTGAAGGCTACTGCCGCCATGCTAGAAGGAAGCCCAGCGTTTCTCTGAAGATGGCACTGAGGGGGCAGAACTCACCAAGGCAGGCCTCTAACCCTGGCATGTAATGCCAGGCTGCCACTGCTCCTGGGGAACCACCGACACCTGGTTGCTCTCCTGAATATGTTGAGGCTGGAGTTGCTGGTCGGGTTAATGTAGTTTGTACTGGAAGTAACACTGTTAGTGCAGAGTGAAGGGAATTATTAACTACTTATGATAATTACATATCTATAATTATACACTAGCATTATATTGCATATTATACAGTACATAGCTTTATATACACACATTGCATGGTACTGATGAAAGACTGATGGGAAGAGGGAGCAGCATGAGAATGTAGGAGCCCTGGCTTCAGCACCTTTTTCTTTATCCAGGACTTTTGATTTTATCTGTAAAATGGGGATAACTTAATAACCTGTCTAGTGACACCGGGTAGAACCAACCCATTTTGAGCCTATTTCCAGCATCTGTTACACAGTAAGTTAATTCAGAGATAGCTAGAACAATGACCTGGGAGAACAGAGGCAGTGATTTGCCCAAGGCTACACCCAAATAGCTCTGTAGCCCTACATTCTCTCCACTGCATCCCACTATGCTTGGCTTTCCCCTCTTCCCCAACAGCACAAGTTAAATGACTCAGTGGCATTTTTCATACTTTAGGCAAAGGACAAGGCCAGACAGATCATTCCAGTTTGGTTGTGTAAATATGCGAAGGCACCTGTGTGTAGATTTCGTTTGAAAACCTCACTGAAGCCAGAATAGGTTTGGGGAGTGCTAATCTACCCTACTTTGTCTGTGGAAGCTCCCTTCTGAAATCACTCTGCCTACCTTCCCCTACAGGAACACCTGCTGAAGGAAGGGCTGGCCTGGCTGGACTTGCAGGCCCCAGGGGAGGCCCACTACTGGCTGCCAGCTCTCTTCACTGACCTCTACTCCCAGGAGATCACAGCTGAAGAGGCCAGAGAAGCCCTCCCCTGACTGAGAGTGTGGAAGGGCACACAGCAGGCAGGGAGAAGAGGGAGGACCTCTTGGTGAATAAACCTGGACAATTTTGTTTATAAAAAAAAAAAACTAGAAAAAAGGTTCCAAGTTTTTCTTTCTTCTCCCAACATTTTATTTTTTAAAAGTGCCTTCATATTGCATCTTTATTGGAGAAAACCTCATTTATCCAGTAAGGATAACCTGAGTAACATAGGTAACTGCGGGCAGGTATAAAATGACTTGTGCAGGTCATCTCCAAGTTCATGGAAGAGCTGGGCCTGGAAGGCAGGCCGTCTCCTGGCCTGACCATAGTCTTTCTATAGAGCTGTGAGACAAATTATAGCCTCTGCTAATTCAAACCTCTTCCTTATAAAATATTTATCTCCAACTAGCAGCCCCTAATGGACCAGTACGTAACCCTTGTTCTTTCAGTCTCTTTCCACTTCCCCTGTAGAGGCTTCAGGTTATGACAGACTCAGCTGTCAAGGAAATAGATTTCAGTGTTAAACGGTGGCTAAATTGGAGGAAAGAAAACAGTGGAATTTGAGGAATCAAACAATAGTGAACGTTTTATTTCCTTAAATTCCTTACTAGCTTTCTCTCCCTCCTGTACTCATCACCACGTCCCTTGAGCCTCAGTGGTGGGCAAGGGAATCATCTACTGAACGCCTACCCTGTGCCATTCCACATCCACCTCATTTAATCCTCACAACCACCCTAGAAGGTAAGTAGGTAGCCTTAACTTCACAGGTGACAGATCAAAGCAATTTGTCAGGGGCCACCAGCTTAAGCAGAGCCAAGGCTAAAGCCCAGGTCTATTAACCCCAGAGCGCGTGCTTTCCAGTATCACTGCTTTGCCCAGTCAAGAGCAGCGGGACATACTGTGTGTAGACATTTCTTTCTACACGTGTGGTTAGCCAAGAGGAAAAAAGCCTCTGCCCAGAAATGCACGCATCTCCTAAAGCAAGTAGGAGAGGTGGTGATGAGCAAAGAGGCCAGAGGAGTTTAAAGCTTTCACTCTTGATGGCGTAAATGCTAAATTCCTAAGCAGCACTGGTTTACTATTGGAAAACTGCAAATCCAATGGCTTCTCCTTACTGAGACCCTTCTCCTGGCAGGAAATATATAGTCCGGGGTTATCTCTATCTACCTCTGACTGACTTTGTAGGACATGCTCATGCCCCACAGCTTTGGAATAGGTGTTTCTTTGGGAGTCACTGAGACCAAGGTGGCATTCCTCTCATTGACAGAGCCATAGCCTCAAAGATGGACCGCTCCATTTCTAACTGGTGTAAAACTTGTCAGCAGTAGTCCTGTTCCCCCGTCCCTTACAGTATGATGCAAATTTTCAGTTTCCAGACAATTCACTGAGGGCTTTTCTCTCCCTGACAGTCCTAGGCCTCTGTGAGGTGTGGTTGACAAGATGATCCCGTTCCTCCTTTACATAAACCCTCCCACACCCACAGGCACTTCCTCCTTCTGCCAAAACAAACTTTATTGCACCAAAAAGAAAAAAAAAAAAAAACTTCATTTATGTACAGTCATATATAAAGACATCTCTTTGACTCCTGTGCATATATTTCCTCAACTCAAGATTAGGGCGTAAAAGTCAGGCTGCTATGCCAGACATGCTCTGCCCCATGGCAGGGCCAAGGAGAGGATTGTCACTTGAAAGTGAGAACACTTAAATGGATGACAGACAACACCGGACCCACAGACCAAGGGCATTCTTCTAAGCCCTGGACTAGCTCCAGGAATGGAAGAGGGAAATTGGAAGCAGGGTCCCTTTTTGAGTCCCCACATGGAGAGACTCAGCCTTCAGGTATCCAAGATAAACTTCTGTTCCCCAAGCCCCCTCACTCCCTGTCCAGTTTCTTTGCTTCCTGCCCTCCCAAGTAGGACAGTCTCCTTTGTGCCCAGCCACCCTTGCCCCACAGTTCCCGAGGAGTCCCATGATTCACAAGGCAGAGACCTGTGTAGCAGCGGGCAGGGCAGGTACACGTTCTCCTCTCCTTTATGCGTGGCTGGATACAGACTGAGGCCCCGCGTCACATGAATCACCAAAACCCCACTGGGAGCCATAACAAGAATCTGGAAGTATGGGGAGAACACATCAAAGGGGATGGATATTACAGGGCCCCTGTAGCACATTTTTCTGAGCCAACCAGCTAAAGGATCACTGCAGCTAAATACAAATAGAGAAGCAACACAGCCAGGCGAACACCCATCAGAGCCAGTGACAAAGAGCAGCTGTGGGAGATGGAAGAAGAGAAGGGCAGCAGTCTCTAGAGTCCCAGCCCCAGTCCCCTTCTGCCACTGGCTACCCTTGCTCCCCACAAATCCCTGGGGTTGAAGTGAGGAGGGCAACTACAGGCTGGGGTCAGAATGAACAAGGACAGCCAAACAAAATAAGGACTAGCATCAGACTCCCCCCGTACCCCACCCCCAAGAGAAATACCCTCATTGTGACTAGTATTTATGAAAATCTGTAAGAGACTATTCTATGTAGTGGCTCTAATCCCATACACACAGCAGCTGCCTGTGCTGGGAACTTTTCAAATCAGTGATTGTGGGAACAAACAGTATTTTCAGCTTCTTATGGTGCCTGTGCAGGCTTTACCAAGACCTTGGTTCAGTCTGTCACATTGACCTTCTGTCTTAAATCTAGAAAAAGGGGGAAGGAATGGGGGGCAGGGGAGAAAGGTGCTCAGGTGCTAGGTAAAGCTTACTGATCAGCAGCCTAGACTCCACCACTGTTCCTTCTCTTTGGTCTGTCTAGAACAGTGACTATAAATTAGGAAAAACAAAATTATGCTGGCCTGGGAGAAATAATGGGGGAGGGGTCTCAGGGAGGAAAAGGGCATTGGGAAGCCCTGCTTCACGATTGAAGACAGACAGACAACCACCCAGACTGCTTAAGTGTCACAGACAGCCCCCCACCCCAAGCTCCCTTCCAGATATCCCCATAAACCATTTGAGCACACTCCCTCTTGGAATTGCAATTTCTGTCTTCCACCTATCCCTAAGGAGCTGGCCCTGCTGGAGAGGTGTGTTGGTTGTTTTGTTTTTGCCAGAGGCCCTCGCCCTAGGTGCTCCTGTAAAGGTACCTTGGCCCCCGATATGGGATGAACAAAGCCCCAAATATTCCACTGCCAAGGAGGTCAGATCGGGAACAGTCCCCATTCCCACACCCCAGGATCCGAGCTTGCTTGGTTCTTGCCATCTTGCAGGATGACGTCAAGTTTGGAGGGAGATACACAGTGCCTCTCCATCCTTGGGGTGAGGGCAAGGGACTCTGCTGGGACTCTCAAGTCAGGGGAAGGGGTGAAGGGAGCAGGGTCTAAACCCTCAGGCTCCCATGCAGGTCTGTCTCTGTCCCAGATGAGCTGCTATCAGAGTCCATTTCGGCATTCTCATTATGGAGCCTCTCCAGCACTTTCTGACGAATCAGTCCCAGGCGCATCAAGAGGGACTGGTAGTCAAAGTGGCCCCGCTTCTCTCCAAAGGGGTCCTGTGGGGAAAAGGAGACAAGGGGGATGGAAGATTCAAGCCTGGGTGGCTCACCCCAGAGAAAGCAACTTTGGGCCCATGTGAAATGCAAGCTCAACTTCTGAGCCATGGGAACAGAGGAAGGCATAGCATAGCACAAGTAGTCCCAAACAGCAGACAACAAAATCTTTGTTTAAGATTATCACAGCGTCCTCACTGCCCCAAATAGGTCTAGCTTGGGCTGACATTAAAACGTGTCTGTTCTTTTCCTGAGCGAGAGGATGACAGGAAATAAAAAAAATAAA